AAATTACCCTGGCGACGTACCCAACCCTTGCGCAATGCGGGGCATAAGTACATCAGGATTGCCACAATGGGGGCGATGATGTAACATGGGCGCATGTGATTTTGCGAGGAGCAATCGGAAGGCTCGCAGGCCCCCGATCCAGATCGAAGGGCTGCGTAATAACAAATAACCACCGTTGGCTGTGCCATGCGTCCGTTGCACTCAACGTATCCCAAAGCAGCTCTTGAGAGCCCCCGCGGGAAACGTGCAGGCGCAACGTGATGGCCATCGCCCGGCAGATGGTCTGTTTCACAAACCACCCCCATTGGCTGTGCCATGCACGAGAAAGGTCCAGATCCCAACCGGTCGCGTGAGATCCCATACGGACGGTTCAGATCCCAACCGTCAAGGACACGTGGGACGGGTGAGGCCCCAACCACTTTGGAGCCTCTGAAAAGCTCCGAGCCTCTGCAAGGTTCTGAGAGCCTCTGAGAGATTCTGCCAGGTTCTTGCAGCCTCTGCAAGCTTCTGACAGCCACTGAGAGATTCTGCAAGGTTCTGACAGCCTCCGCAAGGTTCTGACAGCCTCTGCAAGGTTCTGAGAGCCTCTGAAAGATTCTGCAAGGTTCTGAGAGCCTCTGAGAGATTCTGCAAGGCTCTGAAAGGTTCTGAGCCTATCGGAGGTTCTGAGAGCCTCTGGGATGTTCTCGGAGAGGTTCCGAAAGGTTCTGAGAGAACCTCTGAGAGGTTCAGAGGTTATGAGAGCCTCTGCAAGGTTCTGAGAGCCTAAACGAGATTCTGCAAGGTTCTGACAGCCTCTGCAAGGTTCTGACAGCCTCTGCAAGGTTCTGAACACCTCTGAGAGATTCTGCAAGGTTATGAGAGCCTCCGAGAGCCTCTGAGAGATTCTGCAAGGTTCTGAAAGCATCTGAGAGATTCTGCCAGGTTCTGCCTCTGAGAGATTCTGCAAGGTCTGAGAGCCTCCGAGAGCCTCTGAGAGATTCAGCAAGTCTCTGAGAGCTTCTGAGAGAGTCTGCAAGGTTCTGGAGGCCTCTGAGAGTCCCTGAGAGATTCTGCAAGGTCCTGAAAGCCTCTGAGAGCCTCTGAGAGATTCTGCAAGGCTCTGAGAGGTTCTGCGCCTCTGGGAAATTCTGCGAGCCTCTGAGAGGTTCTAATCTTAAAAAAAAAGTTCCGAGAGGTTATGAAAGGTTCTGGGAGAGCCCCTGAGAAGTTCTGGGAGAGATTCTGAGAGCCTCTGAGAGATTCTGCAAGGCGTCTTAGCCTCTGGGAAGTTCTGAGAGCCTCTGAGAGGTTCTAAGAAAAAGGTTCTGAGAGAGCCTCTGAGAGGTTCAGAGAGAGTTTCTGAGAGCCTCTGAGAGAGCCTCTGAGAGGTTCAGAGAGAGGTTCTGAGAGCCTCTGAGAGAGCCTCTGCGAGGTTCTGAGAGAGGTTCTGAGGTTCTGAGAGCCTCTGGGAGAGCCTCTGAGAGGTTCTGAGAGAGGTTCTGAGAGCCTCTGGGAGAGCCCCTGAAAGGTTCTAAGAGAAGTTCTGAGAGCCTTTGAGAGAGCCCCTGATAGGTTCTGACAGAGGTTCTGAGAGCCTCTGAGGGAGCCTCTGAGAGGTTCTGAAAGAGGCGCTGGGGGCCTCCGAGAGAGCCTCTGAGAGGTTCTGAAAAGAGGTTCTGGGAGCCTCTGAGAGCCTCTGAGAGCCTATGCGGGGCTGTTCCTGTTCGGCCAACGGGACATAATATAGCAGAACGCATGTGCTCCTAAACTTGCCACCCTAAACAGTACTACACTTAGTACTGGCATCCCGCACTACTAGGGCGAGTAGTACTTCGGCTACGTGTATGTCTGCTGCTGCAACTACTGTCGTTCTTGATCGTCTCAATTTAATTGTGGTGGTAGTGTCGTTGGCGCTGTGAGTTGGTACGTGTACTACTGCTGCTGGTAGTACGACCTAGTGTGTGTATTACTACGACTCCTGATGCTGGTAGTACTATTAAGACTACGACTGAAACTAACACTACTACTACGACTACTGCGGCTACCACCACTACTACCACCACCACCACCACCACCACCACCACCACCACCACCACCACCACCACCACCACTACTACTACTACTACTACTACTGCTACTACTACTACTACCACTACCATCACTACGACTACTACTACTACTACTACTACTACTGCTACTACTACTACTACTACTACTACTATTACTACTACTACTATTACTACTCCTGCTACTGCTACTACTACTACTACTACTACTACTACTACTACTACTACTACTACTACTACTACTACTACTACGACTACTACTACTACTACTACTACTACTACTACTACTACTACTACTACCTACTACTACTACTACTACTACTACTACTACTACTACTACTACTACTACTACTACTACTACTACTACTACTAACTACTACTACTACTGCTACGACTACCACTACTATTTCTACCACTACTACGATCCAGCAAACGACGCGCGAGATTCCAACCGCAATAGCTCAGGCGTAAATCTGCTCCTGTAAGGTGTCCATCGCAATTTCAGATAACAATGAACAAATATGGTAACATTTCAATATGTTTTCTTCATTCGCTTCCTCCTCGGTTGGGATCTGACCGTGCCTGGTGTTTTAGACGGTTGGGATCTGAACCGTCCGGTTGGGATCTCACGCGACCAGTTGGGATCTGAACCCATCGCTGCCATGCACCCGTTGCGCCTAACGTATCCCACAGCAGCTCTCCAGAGCACCCCAAGGACGGCGAGGTCTCGCTCAGATCCCCGCGGTGCCTCACTCCGCAGGACCCCCCAGCAGCCCTCGAAAGCTGCGACAGCGTCCCAGATCGCAACCCCCCAAGGGACGGCGAGGTCTCGCTCAGATCCCCGCGGTGCCTCACTCCGCAGGACCCACCAGCAGCCCTCGAAAGTGGCGGCAACGTCGCAGATCGCAGCACCCCAAGGGACGGCGAGGTCTCGCTGAGATCCCCGCGGTGCCTCACTCCGCAGGACCTACCAGCAGCCCTCGAAACTGGCGACAACGTCGCAGATCGCAGCCCCCAAGGACGGCGAGGTCTCGCTCGGATCCTCGCGGTGCCTCATCCCGCAGGACCCACCAGCAGCCCTCGAAAGTCGCGACAACGTCGCAGATCGCAGCCCCCCAAGGACGGCGAGGTCTCGCTGAGATCCCCGCGGTGCCTCACTCCGAAGGGCCGACCAGCAGCCCTCGAAAGTGGCGACAGCGTCGCAGATCGCAGCCCCACAGGGACGGCGAGGTCTCGCTCAGGTCCCCGCGGTGCCTCACTCCGCAGGACCCACCAGCAGCCCTCGAAACTGGCGACAACGTCGCAGATCGCAGCCTCCAAAGGACGGCGAGGTCTCACTCAGATCCCCGCGGTGCCTCATTTCGCAGGACCCACCAGCAGCCCTCGAAAGTGGCGACAACGTCGCAGATCGCAGCCTCCAAAGGACGGCGAGGTCTCATTCAGATCCCCGCGGTGCCTCACTCCGCAGGACCCACCAGCAGCCCTCGAAACTGGCGACAACGTCGCAGATCGCATCCTCCCAGGGACGGCGAGGTCTCGCTCAGGTCCCCGCGGTGTCTCACTCCGCAGGACCCACCAGCAGCCCTCGAAAGTGGCGACAACGTCGCAGATCGCAAGCCCCACAGGGACGGCAAGGTGTCGCTCAGGTCCCCGCGGTGCCTCACTACGCAGGAACCCACCAGCAGCCCTCGAAAGTCGCGACAACGTCGCAGATCGCAGCCTCCAAAGGAACGGCGAGGTCTCACTCAGATCCCCGCGGTGCCTCACTCCGCAGGACCCACCAGCAGCCCTCGAAAGTGGCGACAACGTCGCAGATCGCAGCCCCCCAGGGACGGCGAGGTCTCGCTCAGATCCCCGCGGTGCCTCATTTCGCAGGACCCACCAGCAGACCTCGAAACTGGCGACAACGTCGCAGATCGCAGCCTCCAAAGGACGGCGAGGTCTCACTCAGATCCCCGCGGTGCCTCACTCCGCAGAACCCACCAGCAGCAACTCGAAAGTGGCGACATCGTCGCAGATCGCAGCCCCCCAGGGACGGCGAGGTCTCGCTCAGATCCCCGCGGTGCCTCACTCCGCAGGACCCACCAGCAGCCCTCGAAAGTGGCGACAACGTCGCAGATCGCAGCCCTCCAGGGAAGGCGAGGTCCCGCTCAGATCTGCACGGTGCCTCACTCCGCAGGACCCACCAGCAGCCCTCGAAACTGGAGACAACGTCGCAGATCGCAGCCCCCACCGTCGGCGCAGAGAAGGCAGGCGGAGGCGGAAGGCGGGAGGAGAAAGAGGGACGCGACCACAGTGCTCTCTTCAAAACGGATACCCAACCAAGAGGAGGGTTGGGAAAAAATATTGGGGGGCCGCCGCTGTCTTGCCATCGCTCCGACGTCCACTCCACTCCCCGTGCATGCCTCGGCCTCGTGCGCTAATCTTCCGCAAGATGGTCAAGGATGCTCCTCCTCCTCCTCCTCCTCCTCCTCCTCCTCCTGCTCCTCCTCCTCCTCCTCCTCCTCCTCCTCCTCCTCCTCCTCCTCCGCCTCCTCCCTGTCCCCGTCGGAGCACAGCCACCCGGGCGGACGACGCCGCAACCGCCGACGACGCGGACGATGACCTCCAGTGGCCACCGGGTGGCATCCATCCCTGGAGGTGCCCGGAGGTTCCCACGGAGGCCCACGGAGGCCAGGATAAGGCAGGCTGTGCTTGTAGCCGCGGGCAAATTTCCTTGCATGGCCTCTCCTCCCCATCGCGAGAACTCACTACCGGAGCCCCAGTTCCTCCTCCTGTTCCTCCTCCTCCATCCTTATCCATCTCCATCATTCTCCTGCTCCTTCTCCTCCTCATCCATGGGCCTCGCTGAGGACGCATGCACACGTCCGACCGATGCCGAGGTGCCTCGACCAGCCCACCTGCGAGATCCCCGAGCCTCGAGCCTCCAAGGGGCGGAGCTCCCCGCCGCGCCTGGATCCTGTCAGGCTCCACCCCGGCAGCCTCCGCCGCGCCCACGGCGTCCCGCAGCGCGACCTCGAGAGGCGACGACAACTGCGACGGACGACAGACGACGACAGACGACGACGACGACGACGACGACGACGACGACGACGACGACGACGACGACACCCACGCCGACGCCGACGCCGACGCCGCCGACGCCGACGCCGACGCCGACGCCGACGCCGACGCCGACCACGACCACGACAACGACCACGACGACGACGACGCCGACGCCGACTCCCACGAGGACGAGGACATCTCGCTCAGGGCTTCTCGCTCAGCTCCTGCGCAAATCTTGCCATCTCTCGGACTTGGGCGCCCGAGTTATCCGGGATAACTCGGGTCCGGGGTAACTCGGGCTTGGATTCCCGAAAAAGGAACCCGAGTTATCCCTGACCCGAGTTACCCCTGATGATTCGGGGCTCTTGGACGCCCGATTCATCCGGGGTAACTCGGGTCCGGGGTAACTCGGGCTTGGATTCCCGAAAAGCGAACCCGAGATATCCCTGACCCGAGTTACCCCTGATGATTCGGGGCTCTGACGGACGTCCAGTCCCCCGGTGCATTGTTCGGCTTCGTACGCTCATTGTTCGCGAGATGAACCAACATGCCCCCCGATGGTCCCCGTCGAAACAAACAAATGCTCACGTCCGAGCGGTGCCGAGAACTCGGGGCGGGCTTCCCAGGAAAAGGAGGAGGAGGAGGAGGAATAGGAGGAGGAGGTGGAGGAGGAGGTCGGGAGGTCGGGAGCGGCGGCGGCGGCGACAGCGGCGGCGGCGGCGCCAGTGGGCGGCCCGCAGCGCAGCCTCGTCCTCCCGGCGCTCGGCCTCGGCGAGGGCGCCGACCGCAACTCGCCTGCCCAGCCGATCGCTCGCTCGTCGGCGTCGGCGTCGTCGGAGTTGTCGCTGCTGCCCATCGCCGCCGTCGTCAGCGTCAGCACGTTGTCGCCAGCGTCGTCCTCGTCGTCCCCGTCAACATCCTCGTCCTCGTCCTCGTCCGTCGTCCTCGTCCTGATGCTCGTCCTCGTCCTCGTCCTCGTCGTCATGATCGTCCGCGTCGTCGTCGTTGTCGTCCTCCTCCTCCTCCTCCTCCTCGTCATCGTCGCTGTCTGTCGTCGTCCGTCGCCAGCGGCGCCGTCTCCCCGTAAATCGGCCCCTGGATCTGCCCAGGAGCGCATTCCGACCAGAATGTCGGGCGGATCTGGCCAGGGTTCCCACAAAGGCAAGGCAAGGCACGAACCGCACTAGAGCCACAAGCGACTCGGGCGTCTCAGCGCACGAGGCACCGAAAATGCGGAAGGGACCACCCTGCAGGATCTAGGCAAGCGCGTTCCACTACTCGCAGAGTCACTACTCGCAAATGGCCTGGATCCGCCGTGGGGGATTTACGATCTATTACATCGGGGCGAACGTGGGCTTCCTTCGGACGTTTGCGAGGAGGCACTTTGCGAGTAGTGGAACGCGCTCGGTGAGGATCGGTCAACGGCACATCCTGGAGCGGTGCCGGAGCCTCCTCTGAGCACGGGGACCCACGGAGCCACTGCCAAACTGCACCCTCGCACCTTCCGGCGCTCCTCCGGGTGCTCTCCGGGGCACCCTCCCCCGCCGACCCCCGTGCTCCCCAGGAGGGCAGAGAGCACCAGAACCCCTGGCCCACCTCCCCTCGCGATCCCCCCCGCGTACGTCCTGGGCCCACAGGCGCTGTCGGCGGCACCGTCGCTGTCGCCGTCGTCCGTCGTGCGTCGTCGCCGCCGACGGCCGCCGTCGTCTCCGTCGCCGGCGCCCTGCGTCCCCCGAGGTCCGACGTCGCGAAACAACGGCAACCGCACGCCTGGGCCCCACCTTCGGCTGCAGTCTTTGAGGGGCGACTCTTCTACCACCGCTACCATATCTAGATCGGCGGAGAAGGAAGGACGAGGAGGTCCTCCTCCTCCTCGTCCTCCTCCTCCTCCTCCTCCACCTCCTCCTCCTCCTCCTCCTCGTCCTCCTCCTCCTCCTCCTCTCCCTCTGCATATGGTAGTGGTGGTGGACAGTGGGCCCATCATGCTTCGACCCGAATCGATCTGCGAGGGTCCTGGGGCCCGAAACTGGGCGTCCTCGGCGGGAGAAAGAAGAGCGGGTCCCGAGAGGAACGCGGGTCCCAGGACCACAGGGGTCTTCCCCCAGGACAGTGAGGGGCAACGACCTGGGGCCCGACAACAAGAAACCTTCCACAAGAAACCCAACCCTGAGACCCCAGGACGCCCACTGATTTTTAGTGTGGGAACGCCGCGCTGTCCCATATCAAAACCATCGAAACCCAAGAAACCCAGGGCACCCTGGAGGCAAGCAGGGTGATTCTTGGCATACTTCGCCTCCACTGTAGGGGAGGAAGCATCGGTCTAGAATCGGCGATAGGTCGCCGAGGGATTGGCGATGGGCCCCCGCCAGCGAGCCCGCACCTCTCTGGGCGTGGAGGGCGCTGTCAGACCCCGAGAGCGAGCGAGACCACATGCTCCTGGGTGGGGTGGGGCCGGGCCCCTATCGACGATGAATGGGCCAATGTGGGGTCGATGCGCCCCCTCCTGAGCCCATCCCCCCCAGATGATCCCCGTCGTCCAGTCCTCGGGTCTCAAATCCGCTCCGGCGGCCCTTCGGAGTGATCCGGGCAGCCCATGCCGCCCCAAGACCCTCTATGCCGCCGCCCGATGGGGTCGATGCATCCTATCCTCCCTATCGCTGCCCCTGAAGGCGGCCTTCCTCCAGGACAGGCTCGTCTTCTCGAGTCGTCTTCTTGACAGTTCTGGCGCCCGTGGAGGGCCGCGAGAGCCTGTGCTCCTCATGGCGTCGTCCGTCGCAGTCGCCTGCCAGTGGGGGTCAGACTTCGGGCTCAGAGTCAGCAAAGGGCAATCTCAGGAAAGGCATGAGTGATGAGAAGAATGGAGTCTTACGAAAGGTGACATAGAGACCTTGCGCGGTATAGCTTACGCGGGCCCCAAGGGCGGCATGCCACACGTGACACCAGGACGCCTTGCGCGCGAATGTCGGCGCAGACGACCCGTTTGTTTGCCTCGCTCACACGGTTCTTGGTGGAAAATACTGGGGCGGGCAAGACAAACAACGGCATTCGCACGGAAAGGCCAAGGAACAACTCTGTCTGAAGACACATGCGGCTCCGAACTAGGCAAATCCATGGAATTGAGCTTACCTCTCCATGGCGCCCCAACGGCTGGCCCCCCTTAGCAGGCGAAGGACCGTCGTCCGTCTTCGAGTCGCTGGCCGCTCGTCGCCAGTCCAAGCAGGTGGGGTCGGAGGATCGCACCTTCTCGGCGATGCATCGGCGATGTATCGGCGACGTCCACGCGAAGCAGAACGGGGCCCACAGCGAGCCGCATCGCCGATGCATCGGCGGGGGCCCCAGATCTGTAGGGTCCTCCATCCGCCGGTCGCCAGTCGCCCGTCGCTGGTCGCCCGTCGCATGTCGTCGCCGCCGCCGTCCGCCGTCGGCCCTCGGGCGGCGCGTGCAGCCGGTCCTCTTGAGCAGGGTGGATGCGTGGGTCCTGAGGGAAGCGGGTTCTGGGATCAGGTCGGGTGTGTCCTTCTACAGGCGGATGAAGGACGAAAGGTGATGAAGAGTAAGCAACCGCCAAAAGTAAACTCGAAGCATCGCCCTCAGACTATTTGACTAGCCTTGACGATGTTTGTATGTTACTCCCGTAGAGGGACATGCTCGACTTGATCCTGGGCCCCGGTGTCTCTCCCCCAGGGCGAGCGCGTCCTCCCGAGCCATTTTTGTTCGACAGCCCCCTGACGGGGCCCGTGGAGAGGAAGCCCCGAGGGCCCGGAAGCGGGGAAAGGAGATGCCTCCCAGATGGGGTCGGAGCAGATGGGGATCGCGCCGCATCGCCGATACGTCGACGATGCATCGATCGGCGATGCATCGGCGATGCATCGGCGAACGTACCGGCAACGTCGGCGATGCATCGTCGACGTCGACGTGAAGCACATCGGGCTTCACATCGAGCCGCATCGGCGATGCATCGGCGATGCGAGAGAAGGGGGGGAAGGGTCTGACTCATGACCTCTGCTTAATGCGACCGTTCGTCCGATGGGGGAGACGCCACCTGCTTGAAACAAGCGCCAAAAGCAGCCAAGATCTACTCCATGGGGGGAGGACGAGGGGTGCGAGGGCCCGCGCCGATCGGCACAAGAGCGAAGAAGAAAACGACCACCCCGAGAAAAACCTCTGCGAGCCGCCCATGGCGAGCCGCCGCCCCCGGGGGCGCAGCGCGCCGCCGGGCCTCTGCAGCCTGCGCTCCGCCTCCCGCAGCTCCTCAGCACCGACGCCGGCCTC